ACTTTCATTCAACAAATCAATTTATATACACCTCTAGTCCCGCATGAATTCGGAGGACCTTTCCTCACAGGTGGCAGGGTACTAAACGTTCAACACACATCAATTCACATCAATTCATTCAGCTTTCAACAAAGAAATTCACTCCGTATTCAACAAAGAAATTCAAGCGATATTTACCAAGTTTGAGAGAGCCTTTACAGAGGAAAAACCCAACTCTCCAGGTAGATAGTTTTACCAGGAGAGAGCATCCTCTGATGTACAGGACTGGACTTGTCCAGACATATTCTATGGCTATGGCATAAGACACACCTTCCCATGTTTGTGTAAAAAGGTCATGACCTCTACTCTGCAGGACTGGAAAATATTATTCTCGGCTATGGCATAAACACCTTTTTGGGGCCTCAGTCTATTTCTCCTTAAGTCAGGAGCCCCCATCCCTGTGTACTGCTGTGAGGGACGAGGGAAGAAACTGTCTCTCCTCTCTTATGAGTGACACCCATAAACCATAATAGGCCTTACACACTCAATTTAAAGGTCCCATGTCATGCTTTTCCGGTTGTTACCCGTCCCCTTGTGTGTTATGAAGGTTTTTATGCATGTAAAGGTCTGCAGAGTCAAAAACCCTTCAAAGTACACCCTGTAGCGAGTAAAACTCTAACACAGAAAAGACCTCCCCAAAACGCCTCGTTGGAGATTTCTCATTTTCCATTGTTTACTTCCTGGGTATCACTACGTAGGGATACCCAGTAGCCATGCCCAGAGCTATGGCCGCACCCTCTGCCAGCCTTTCACGAAACAAAGCTTCCCAAAACCTTTCAGGATTCATGCCGGATATGTACAGCGTAGGGCACTGAAGAACGATGCTGTTCCTACTTTGTTTGGACCAGCGGGAGATTCGGGTACACAACCTGTAAGTATTCATTGTTGTTTGTGTATTTATGATGTTTAAAACAAACAAGGTATCTACCACGACTGTTTAAATGGGTAAACGTTTTTCGGGACTCGTTGGGATCGCGGAGAAATGCTCTCCGCAGACCCATGCTCACAGCGTTATAAAGCTTTTTCTTACTCAATATCAAGCCACACTTATTGTTTTTACTTCGGCTGTGAGTGTTTGTGTGTGCTCAGGATGAGTTTAGCTTGTTCTCGCTGTATCTGTATCGCCGACAAGGAAGCCTGTCTCGCTGCTCCTCTGCTCCTCGCAGCTGCAACGAGCCTCTCACGTCGCGTGACCAATCAGAGCACACTGGGCTCACAGGGAGGGGGGGGCAGGAGCTCCAACAAGCCGTTTAGGACAGAGAGTGAATACACATACTATACAGAGATGCTGTATGAGAAACCAATGTGAGTTTGGAACATTGAACAATGTAAATCTATTTTAGTAGACCTCAACAATGGAATTATGATCAGTAGAAATGGCCATGACATGGGACCTTTAACAAACCACTTGTGTTTTGTTTATACTGTAAATATAGAAAACCATAAAATATGAAGCATTTTCATTGTGGGTTATACAAGCATATAATTGATTATATCTGATTATAATTAACTTTCGTTTTAAGTATTACAAAAGAGCGCTAGAGCAACAATATACTCTATATATAGACCAAAATCTGATCAGCGGATTTTCAGACAGGTTTTTATAAAGATGGATCAGGACAGAAAGAGAGGGGTCTTTGTTCCTGACACTTTCAGAATCTCTTAACACAGAGGGACACATGTTGATGTAGAACAGACATGAATAAGAGGATTTTGCATTATAGTTGACCTTTAAAGTTTTGCTTAATGTGATGCCCCTGTGGGTCATTAGAGAGGGTGTGGCTGTCCTGTTGGGCTGTGTTGATTGTAGTAACTCAGGGCACCTGGGTCTGGTGTCCTGCAGCTATTTAAAGCCTCTCTGCTCCTCTCTGTGCTCTCTCTGCTTTTCCCAACAGACCTCCGGTTTTGTTGAGTATATGTACTTTACTTTAGTTGCTTTACTTTGTGCACTTCAACACTCTCACACTCATACATGTCCATGCAATCCTCACCCTGCACTTACACTACTGATACCACTGACATCCACACCTCATACTTCATTTGGGTTTTGCACTTAATTAATTTGGCTAATTTGGACTATTTGCTTTAATAAACATCTTTTGTTAAACCGTTGACATGGTGTGTCTCCTCTTTGTTGTGGCCTTTTGAGCCAGGTCATAACACTTAAATATCAGAATTGGGTCAAAGTACTTAATTCTCTTCCTGTGTTTGCACAACACCGATCAGGAGTTGATATATTTCTCCTTTTATAAACGATATCACTTCCTCTTCTCTGTTTCTGTGCAGGTTGTTGAGATGATTCCTCTCCTCCTGCTCTGCTCGCTCAGTCTGAGTTTCGCTCAAGGTGAGTCCATCCTGCATCCATCCAAAAAACTACATCACCCTCTCTCTCCCTCTCTCTCTCTCTCTCTCTCTCTCTCTCTCTCTCTCTCTCTCTCTCTCCCCCTCTCTCTCTCTTTAAAACACATCACACACACATTCAGCTCCAAGTCTGTCAAAGTGGAAAGTGATTATTACTACACACACACACACACACACACACACACACACACACACACACACACACACACACACACACACACACACACACACACACATGTTCTATTTCGTATATGGCGAAAACTCCAGCTTCTATGAGTATTGGCGTAGCCCTCTAAGTTCTGGGCCCCACTGGCTCCACGAATAGCTGAAGAAAAGTTGTTTTTTGTGGGAGCAGATTGTCGGGCCTCCTTCCTATTTATACCGGAAGGGAGCCCACCTTGCGGGCGGGCGTGGACTACAAGTGTTTCAGTGCTGCGCGGGTGCGCAGGGGGATTACCCAATAGCGATAGCCTTAGAGGGCTACGCCAATACTCATAGAAGCTGGAGTTACAGTAGGTAACTTCAGTTAGAGATGCTTGTGTAATAAGGAGACATGCAGAGCAATCAGAATCCGGGGTCATTTATGACAATTTTGGAAATAAATAATTAAATAAATAAAAGAAACTTAAAAAAGTAAAATAAAATACTAAATAAAATAAAAATAATAATAAATAAAGAATACAAATAATCATAATTAAATGAAATATGCTGTTCACAGTACGTACCCTCGGTCATACCTTACTACTGCTTTCCCCATTGTGCCATGAAGAGAGGCAGAACCAGTAGCCCATTTAAAGATCTGCTGTTAAGAGGAACTAATGTTGGAACTGAGTCCAGTTTGATTCTCTGAAATATTGTTTCATGATACAGCTCTGAAAAAAATTAAGAGACCACTGAGGCATTATCAGTTTCTCTGGTTTTACTGTATGTGTTTGTCCCCGCCGGCGTACGTGCGCATCACACTCAATCCTCAATTGTAATGTTTAGATGGATTTAGGAACCTCCCCTCGATTCTATTTGCTCTAACGGTTCAAAAGAGGTGTCAATCACCAAAATCGACCAATGGGTTCCAAAGATATGGCAAACAGACCCAAATGACCCCAGAGGTGGAGTTTTTTTCTATAATAACAATGCCAGTTTGAACAGGTGGATTTTGAGTTGGGTTTTGAATGTTGTTATGGAATCAGACTGTCGGATATGTAGTCTATTGAGGCGTTTGATGGGAAGGCAAGTCAGAAGTGCATTGCAGTAATCAATGAGTGGACCAGGATTTCAGTGCTTAGTTTTGGATTCCTAAATGTTTTTGTCTACTATCCCATCATTCAAGGGTGGTTTTCACTATAAGTAATGGGTTTTTTTTGGACGGAAACTATAATTTAAATTGTTTTACTATGTTCAATCTGAATTTACTTTAAAATAAACAGATCTATATTGATTATGACTCTCCTACATCCAACTCACAGGTGTGTCATTGCTTTGAGAAAAAAGATTATTAATTTACCCCTTTTAGAAGTGAAGATATAGTCATTTATTCTGGGCATGTCATTTCGAGCCTGAGACCTGAAAAACAGGCTTGGGGCTCAACAGGTTAAGAACATTTGGATGGAGTGGTCTCTTAATATTTTACAGAGCTGTATTTTTTATTCTGTTTCTTTACCTCGTTTTATCTTCTGTCCTCTCCAGACTCTGTCAGGCTGGCGAATGGGACCAGTCTGTGCTCAGGTAGACAGGAGGTGAACTCTAACCAGTCTAACCCGTTCATTTCTCTAAAGCTGACTTTTTTCTCTAAAGTTGACTTTTTCCTCAATTTTTTGATTTTTTCTCAAAATTCTTTATTGCCATTTTTAACCTGTAGCTCATGTGCATACGACAATAAAAGCTTTGCATTTGAATATGATAAACATGTAAATAGCATATAAAATAGAGGAGCTGCAGCTGTGATTGGTTCATTTCATCAAACTCAATTTATTCTCTCTCTTGTTTCTCTTCAGAGCCTCATGAGGTCAGACTGGTGAGGGGAGAGAGTCGCTGTGCAGGAGAACTGGAGGTGAAACATCGAGGAGAATGGAGACCAGTGAAGAGCTCTCCCTGGACCCTGAAGGCAGCAGGTGTTCTCTGCAGAGATCTGGACTGTGGCTCTGCTGTTTCTGTAGGAGAAAGAAAGGCGTCCTCAAAGAGATCCGTTTGGAGGATCAGACCTGCCTGTGTTCAGTATGGATCTGCTCTGAGGAATTGTGCAGCAGCAAGTTCCTCTTCCCACTTCCTGACTCTTACCTGTTCAGGTAAGCTCCTTTGACTTTTCCCTCCAAATTTTGACTTTTTAAAATTTCACTTGTTTCTCAAAATGTCACTTCTTTCTCCAAATTTAGATTTTTTTCTGAAATTTAGATTTTTTCTCCAAATTTTGATTTTCTTTTTCTCCAAATTTGACTAATTTCTAAACATTTATCTTTTTCCTCAAAATTGTACTTTTTTCTCAAATTTGAATTTTAAATAAATATCAAATAAGAAAATAGAAATAAAAGATAAAGAATAAAATACAATAACAATTATAGAAGTAACTGTTTCTTTACCTCAGTTGTATATTCTGTCCTCTCCAGACTCTGTCAGGCTGGTGAATGGGACCAGTCTGTGCTCAGGTAGACTGGAGGTGAAGTCTAACCAGTCTAACCCGTCCTGGTCCTCAGTGTGTGAGGCTGACTTTGACCTGCAGGATGCTCAGGTGGTCTGCAGGCAGCTTGGCTGTGGGGCTCCTTCAGTCCTCCAGGGGGCGCTCTATGGAGAAGGGGAGGCTCCAATGTGGACCAAAGAGTTCCAGTGTGGAGGCAATGAGTCTGCTCTCCTGGACTGTAGCTCAGCCTCAGAGAGAAACACCTGCTCACCTGGCAGAGCTGTTGGCCTCACCTGCTCAGGTAGAAGATTCAAAGATTCAAAGGTTTAATTATCATATGCACATAAGCTACAATGTAGAAATGGCAATGAAATTCTCCTGACCGGAACTCCTCCAACAATGAAACATATATAATAAAATACATAAATAGAAATAACCTCAAGAAGCCTATATACAATCTATAAGCAAGAAGTCTCATCTTGCAATCTACTTATTTACTTATTTATATGAATAGTTATCACCGCAATAAACAGTTTTAATTTTGTCTTAATGTACATTTTTTTATTTCAAAATTCTGTTCTTGTACATATCATATTGTATTTAGATGTATATAGACTTCTTTCACAAATTTGACTTTTTTCTCAAGTTTTTGACGTTTTCCACAAATGTTGCCTTTTTTCTCGTAATTTGACTTTTTCCTCAAAATGTTGACTTTTTCCTCAAAATGTCTCATTGTCATTTCTAACCTGTAGCTCATGTGCATATTACAATAAAACCTTTGCATTTGAATATGATATACATGTAAATGGAATATAAAATAGAGGAGCTGCAGCTGTGATTGGTTCATTTAATCAAACTCACTTTATTCTCTCTCTGATCACTCTCGTTTCTCTTCAGAGCCTGATGAGGTCAGACTGGTGGGAGGAGAGAGTCGCTGTGCAGGAACTCTAAGCGTGACACATCGAGGAGAATGGAGACCAGTGTGGCACTTCCCTGGACCCTGAAGGCAGCAGCTGTTGTCTGCAGAGAGCTAAACTGTGGCTCTGCTGTTTCTGTGGGAGAGAGAGAGGAGTCCTCAGAGAGATCTGTGTGGGGGATCAGTCCTACCTGTATTGAGTCTGGATCTGCTCTGAGGCAGTGTGCAACAGCAAGTTACTCTTCCTACTTCCTGACTCTTACCTGTTCAGGTAAGCTCCTTTGACTTTGACACTTTTTTTAGAATTAGATTTTGTTTGCCAAATTTGACTTATTTCTCAAATGTTTACTTTTTTTCGGGAGATTTGACTGAAATTTTGGATTTTTAAATAGATAAAAAATATGAAAATAGAAATAAAAGAGAAAGCATAAAATACACAAAAAATTAAAAAGTAACTGTTTCTTTACCTCAGTTTTATCTTCTGTCCTCTCCAGACTCTGTCAGGCTGCTGAATGGGATCAGTCTGTGCTCAGGTAGACTGGAGGTGAAGTCTAACCAGTCTGACCCGTCCTGGTCCTCAGTGTGTGAGGCTGACTTTGACCAGCAGGATGCTCAGGTGGTCTGCAGGCAGCTTGGCTGTGGGGCTCCTTCAGTCCTCCAGGGGGCGCTCTATGGAGAAGGGGAGGCTCCAATGTGGACCAAAGAGTTCCAGTGTGGAGGCAATGAGTCTGCTCTCCTGGACTGTAGCTCAGCCTCAGAGAGAAACACCTGCTCACCTGGCAGAGCGGTTGGCCTCACCTGCTCAGGTAGAAGATTCAAAGGTTTTATTATAATATGCACATAAGTTACAGTCAGTGGCGCTGCAAGACACACTGGGGGCCCCAGGCAGAATACATGCCCCCAAACACATCCAGCACAACCGGGTCAAAGTTATGGGCCTAGGAAAATATTTCCCCAACAGCTGTAATTGGTTCATTTCATCAAACTCACTTTATTCTTTCTCTGATGACTCTTTTGTTTTTCTTCAGAGCCGGTCAGACTGGTGGGAGGAGAGAGTCGCTGTTCAGGAGCTCTGGAGCTGAAACATCACGGGGAATGGAGACCAGTGTGGGTCCCTCTCTGGACTCTGGAGGCAGCAGATGATGCCTGCAGAGAGCTGGACTGTGGCTCTGCTGTTTCTGTAGAAGAGAGAAATTCCTCATTCAGACCTGTGTGGGGGATCCTGTCTGACTGTGCTCGGTCTGGATCTGCTCTGAGGGAGTGTGTAGTATCAAGTTATTCGTCCAACTTCCTGACTATTACCTGTTCAGGTAAGCTGCTTTGACTTTTTTCTCAGAATTTGACTATTCCTGGAATTTTGACTTTTTCCTCCAAATTTAACTTTTTTTTTAGAATTGGATTTTGTTCTCAAATTTTTTTAAATAAATAACAAATAACAAATAAGAAAATGGAAATAAAAGATAAAGGATAAAATACAATAACAATTTAAAAAAGTAACTGTTTCTTTACCTCAGTTTTATCTTCTGTCCTCTCCAGACTCTGTCAGGCTGGTGAATGGGACCAGTCTCTGCTCAGGTAGACTGGAGGTGAAGTCTAACCAGTCTAACCCGTCCTGGTCCTCAGTGTGTGAGGCTGACTTTGACCAGCAGGATGCTCAGGTGGTCTGCAGGCAGCTTGGCTGTGGGGCTCCTTCAGTCCTCCAGGGGGCGCTCTATGGAGAAGGGGAGGCTCCAATGTGGACCAAAGAGTTCCAGTGTGGAGGCAATGAGTCTGCTCTCCTGGACTGTAGCTCAGCCTCAGAGAGAAACACCTGCTCACCTGGCAGAGCTGTTGGCCTCACCTGCTCAGGTTCTACTTATTTACTTATTTATATGAATAGTTATCACCGCAATAAACAGTTTTTAATTTTGTCTTAATGTACATTATTTAATTTCAAAATTCTGTTCTTGTACATATCATATTGTATTTAGATGTATATAAACTTATTTCAAAATTTTACTTTTCTTTTAGAATTTGATTTTGTCCACCAAAGTTGACTTTTTTCTCAAGTTTTTGACTTTTTCCACAAATGTTGACTTTTTCCTCAAAATGTCTCATTAGGCGCGTTCACACCAAGTACTTTTCCCACAATAGTTCATGAGAACTTTAGTTCATCAGAACTCTTTTAGTTCTGATGAACTAAAGCAGATCGCGTTCACACCAAAATTAGTTCCTGGGGGTGGATTAGGCAAATGAACCGCTGACGTCACTTCTTCTTCTTCTGCTTTGGGTTTACTGGCAGGCCGCAAACCACTTCACGGCGAGTACAGTAGGTGGCGGTATGCACCTTAAAGTTGCAATCCGCCAAAAAAACGAGAGAAAAAGAAGAAGAAAAACCTTGCGCGTATACTGCCGCGCCCACCTGCTGTATATGGCGTCTGTTTACCTTCCGACCTCAGACATGAGCTTCGTCTGAGTTATTTAAGCAAACACAAATACAGATCGTCGACCAGTCAAATGCAATAGCAATGCTGATTCGGAACGAAGGCGGTTAAGAAGGATTGACAAAAGGATTGGACGACGACATGCACGCGCTACGCTACGTGTGAAATGAATAAACTGTGCCAGGTGTGTCGTATGGACACTAAATAGGCTCAGCAGTTACACACCTTTATTATATATCCAACTGAGAGCAACTGCATCCGTCTGCCATGAACCCTACAGAAACCTACGTGTTAGTTTTGGCCCATAGTGGCCTCCATTTGTGTCGTGTAAAATGGGGGAAATCAAAAGTTAGCAAATCCCCATGTCATGTTCATAAAAACATTTAGTTTTAGGTCAAATAATTATTACACTGCTCTGAAACTCACTGCACTAACTCCTTCCCTTACTATAATTAATTAAAAATATTGAACTCACAACACTGGTAATAACAAACTTAACCATTTCTCTTTCTATAAATAAATAGTGCTTGTGTTGGACGCCATTTGAAATACAATGAAATTATCTTTTTGAAAGCCACAATAAATAAAGCTTCGCCAGTTTATAACCGATGAAACATGATGGTATCAGAATAATCACTTACATGTGATGTATAGGATGCTACACAGGTCACTGTAAAGATAAAGTGTCAGAGGAGAAATAAGCAAGCTTAGTTACATGAAATGTAATGAAAAATGTAAGATACAGGCTCTGTCTAATCGCCATGTAGGTTTCTTTTATTGCACACTCAAGACAATATCAATAACAGCATCACGCTGTCCCAGGTGTGTCGTATGCATGTAAATAGAAGTTAACATTTTCAATATCAAATAAAGTGTCAGTAGTATCAAAACATATATATATATATAATAATAACAATAGGTAGGCTCAGCAGCAGACACACCTTAGTGCAAAGTGAAGTGTCAGTATTAATAACAGTGGCATATATATAATCACAATATTACAAAAATTAACTGTCCCAGGTGTAGGCAATTTGGGGTGAAGTGTCTTGCCCAGGGACATCAACCACATGCTGACCTGCAGTGGGGTTTGAACCTGTGCTCCCCTGATCCGAACACCAACGCACCAGACCACTGCACCACACGCCTCCCAAAAAGTCATTGTACAGTTTATCAACGACGACAAGTTTTTCTTAATTTTTTTATTGAAGGCCTGTTGGATTTAATCAGCTCACTTAGCACTGCCAGAAGCCAGCCTGAAAGGTATTTTGTTGCTTCACCTGGCGCGCTGACACCTCCACCTGGCACCGCCGAGTCAGCATGGCGCTGCAATCAACCATGAGCAGCTGGTCGTCCGATTCCTGGGCCTTGTGTGAATGCAGCAGCCGTTCGTCATTGCATCTCCTTGGCACGCAGGTCCTCATTCTCCTTGCTGAACATGGCACGGCGGTCCCATCGCCATGATGGGTGTCCAGGAAGCTGTCATCCCGTGCCCGCTTTCCTAAGGAGAAATAAGCAAGATACAAGATCAGTTTAATTAATCGCCTAGTAGGGTTGTCAACAGAGACAACATTGGACATGTGCAGGCAGGGGACAGTGTACCAAAATGCAGGTGTTAAAGTAGAAGATAAGATAGGATCAAATAATATCAAATAAAAAATAAATATCAAAGTGACCCTTATTTATTGTTTTGTGCTTAATGTTATGCTTGAACTTTGTTTTATAGGGATTAGTGGACATCAGTTAGATGCGTAACCTTCTTTCAAGGCCAGAAGTAGTTTACAGTGTATGTGGATTGACATCTAACATAACATGGCTGAGTACAATTATAACAATCAATTTCAAATGACTTGAAATTATATGCAACTACAATGTATTGTTAGATGGTAGCATTATGTCCAGCTAGCATGCTAATTGCTAACGTATATATTATGTTTTTATCCCGGAGGGGAAAGCTAACTAGTTTCCAATCCAGAGAGAAACACCTCGCCTGAAACGATTAGTGCCATGAGTTAGTGAAGCAAATTACAGAACATTGCACACTTATTCACAAGTCCAATCGTTTTATAGCGGCCGGAGAATAGCTAGCGAGCTAGCTAGATGGTTATTAGCTAGCTCAGTTCTGGCCATGCTAACAGTGTTACCCAAATTCAACCTAGCATTGCTCACTCGATCATACGAGCAAATAAAAGTACATCTGAGACCAGTATTGTGCAGATTAAAACAATGCATTGCATGTAGTATATTTTACCTTCCAGGCATGACTGCGCTTGTGGACGGTTTTCCAGGTCTGCTAACTTTACTGAGCCACGAACATTGCCTTCAGTAGAAGCTTCTGGATCGCGTCCTCCGAGTAACATCGCCAGAAGCGCCGACACATCCTCCTCACTCCACCGCTCCGATGATTTATTTAGTGTTGCTATAATACTACTGCTTTCACAAAGTAATCTCTTCGGGTGTGCTGGCCCGAAGCGAGCAAATACAATGGCATGCTCTCGAGCAGGGACTGAAAAGCGGGTCAGATGAACTAATTTGAACTACTTTAGTTCCTGGGGCCTTTTTGGTGTGAACGCAAATATATCGTAGTTTCTGATGAACTATTGTGGGAAAAGTACTCCAGGTGTGAACCCGCTGAATTGTCATTTCTAACCTGTAGCTCTTGTGCATATTACAATAAAACCTTTGCATTTGAATTTGATATACATGTAAATGGAATATAAAATAGAGGAGCTGCAGCTGTGATTGGTTCATTTCATCAAACTCACTTATTCTCTCTCTGATCACTCTCTTGTTTCTCTTCAGAGCCTGGTGAGGTCAGACTGGTGGGAGGAGAGAGTCGCTGTGCAGGAACTCTAAGCGTGAAACATCGAGGAGAATGGAGACCAGTGAAGAACTCTCCCTGGACCCTGAAGGCAGCAGCTGTTGCCTGCAGAGAGCTAAATTGTGGCTCTGCTGTTTCTGTGGGAGAGAGAGAGGAGTCCTCAGAGAGATCTGTGTGGGGGATCAGTCCTACCTGTGTTTGAGTCTGGATCTGCTCTGAGGCAGTGTGCAACAGCAAGTTACTCTTCCTACTTCCTGTCTCTTACCTGTTCAGGTAAGTTCCTTTGACCTTTCCTCGAAATCTTGACTTTTCCTCAAAATGTAACTTTTTTTGGAGAATTAGATTTATTTCTCAAAATTTCAGTTATTTTTCAAACTTTTACTTTTTTGTAGCTCAGCCTCAGAGAGAACCACCTGCTCACCTGGCAGAGCTGATAGCCTCAGCTGCTTCTCATCAACTCACTTTATTCTCTCTGATGACTCTCTTGTTTCTCTTCAGAGCCTGGTGAGGTTAAGCTGGTAGGAGGAGAGAGTCGCTGTGCAGGAGACCTGGAGGTGAAACATCAGGGAGAATGGAGACCAGTGAAGGGGTTTCCTCCCTGGACCCTGAAGGCAGCAGATGATGCCTGCAGAGAGCTGGACTGTGGCTCTGCTGTTTCTGTGGGAGAGAGAATATCCTCATTCAGACCTGTGTGGGGGATCCTGTCTGACTGTGCTCAGTCTGGATCTGCTCTGAGGGAGTGTGCAGTATCAAGTTACTCTTCCAACTTCCTGACTCTTACCTGTTCAGGTAAGCTGCTTTGACTTTTTTCTCAAATTTGGATTTTTTTAAATAAATAACAAAGAATAAAAGATAAAGAATAACATACAATACAAATAAAAAAATGAACTGTTTCTTTACCTCAGTTTTATCTTCTGTCCTCTCCAGACTCTGTCAGGCTGGTGAATGGGATCAGTCTGTGCTCAGGTAGACTGGAGGTGAAGTCCTAACCAGTCTGGACCCGTCCTGGTCCTTCAGTGTGTGAGGCTGACTTTGACCAGCAGGATGCTCAGGTGGTCTGCCGGCAGCTGGGCTGTGGGGCTCCTTCAGTCCTCCAGGGGGCGCTCTATGGAGAAGGGAGGCTCCAATGTGGACCAAAGAGTTTCCAGTGTGGAGGCCATGAGTCTGCTCTCCTGGACTGTAGCTCAGCCTCAGATGAGAAAACACCTGCTCCACTGGCAGAGCTGTTGGCCTCACCTGCTCAGGTAAAAGATGCCAAAGGTTTTATTATCATATGCACATAAGCTACAGTCAGTGGCGCTTGCAAGACACTCTGGGGGCCCCAGGCAGAATACATGCCCCCAAACACATCCAGCACAACCCGGTCAAAGTTATGGGCCTAGGAAAATATTTCCCCAACAGCTGTAATGGTTCATTCATCAAACTCACTTTATTCTTTCTCTGATGGACCTCTTGTTTTTCTTTCAGAGCCGGTCAGACTGGTGGGAGGAGAGAGTCGCTGTTCAGGAGCTCTGGAGCTGAAACATCACGGGGAATGGAGACCAGTGGGGTCCCTCTCTGGACTCGGAGGCAGCAGCTGTTGCCTGCAGAGAGCTGGACTGTGGCTCTGCTGTTTCTGTAGGAGAGAGAAAGTCCTCATTCAGACCTGTGTGGGGGATCCTGTCTGACTGTGCCCAGTCCTGTATCTGCTCTGAGGAGAGTGTGCAGTATCAAGTTACTCTTCCAACTTCCTGACTCTTACCTGTTCAGGTAACCACCTTTGACATTTTTCTCACAATTTTGATGTTTCCTCTAAATTTTGACTTTTTCTCAAAAGGTAACTTTCTTTTTAGAATTAGATTTTTTTCTCCTCCAAATATGCCTTATTTCTCAAAATGTGACTTATTTCTAAGAGTTTTTTACTTTATTCTCACAATTTGACTTTTTCCTCCAAATTTTGACTTTTTCCTCAACATTTTTAACTTATTTTCCACATTGTGACTTTTCCTCGAAATTTGAATATTTCCTCAGAATAAAAAAAATGTTCTCCAAATTATTATTTTCTCCAAAGTTGACTTTTTTCTCGACATTTTACTTTTTTCTCAGAGTGTTTGACTTATTCTCTCAAATGTTGACTCTTTCCTCAAAATTCCTCATTGCCATTTCAAAATGTAACTTTTTTTGAGAATTAGATTTCTTTCTCCAAATTTGACTTATTTCTCACATTTGGACTTTTTCCTCCAAATATTGACTTTTTCCTCCAAATTTTTACTTTTTCCGCGAAATGTTACGTTTTTTTTAAGAATTTGATGGTTTTCTCCAAATGTGGCTTTGTTGTGGTTTCAATATAGAGTTAAATAATTAAAACGAAAGTTCATATAATCAAATATAATCTTGTATGACCCACAATGAAAATGTATTATATTTCATGTTGTTCTATACTCACAATATATCCAAAATGTCAGTGCTTTGGAAAATGTAGTTTAAAGCCTCCTATAGTTTATCACTATGGGTGTCACTGTTTAGCAGAGGGGAGACAGTTGTCTTCACTCACAGCAGGCTGTAGAGAGGAGACCCCTGACTCAACCGAAAAGTACTGGAGTCCCAAAATATGTTTAGGCCATACCATAGGAGACAAGTTTGGATATTTTGGTAAATTCTCTCAACTTGGTAAGTACTCCTAGATTTGAATATTACCAACGGAAGAGGGCTGTTGAATTTAATATCACAACTGAAGTGGGACAGTTGAAGAGATTTTAATGTATTTGATTTCACACCTGGTAGTCTATGAGGGTTGTCCTCTGAATTCCAGCGGAAGAGGTTTTTAATGCAACTGAAGAGTGACAGTTTGAAGAAAGATTTACCAAAGAAACTAAGAAATGTAAACTGTGAATTGAGGTTTTTGATTAGTAATTTACCACAGCATGAAATATTTGTGTATGATTGTCACATTGTAACGAGAGAAGGTAAAAACCCTGTAAAAGTGTGGACCATTTTCTTCAAATAAAATCATCCCACCCTTTTGGACTGGGATAACTTAAAATAAATCTGCATCCTCTCCTGCTTTAAGGTAAGATTGCACAACTGCCACACTCACACTTAGGCAGGGCCACACCTCATTACAGATACCAGAATCCTATGGGATCGCTTAGACGGATTTAGTGCGTCGCCTGAATTGAAACAGCAGTTAATTGAACCTGGTTCTTCAGAAGTTAGTAGAGGTGAGACCTTGCTGATCAAGGTGGATCCGAGCCTGGCAGTAAACTTACATAGACTCAATAGCTTCTGTTAGGTCAATTAGTAAGTCTGATTAATTGCCAGAATAATTAATACAGGCCTGCCGACTCCAACAGCAGGAAACACAACAACAGTGAAATAAATATTATAAATATTCTGAAAGTAGAAATAAAATCACTGATCTGAACCCAACTGACTCTGCGTTGATGATTAAGTATTTTGCTTTACATACAAAAAACACGTTATCTTTTTGTAGTTTATTAAATATGTTTTGTGGCATTTAAAACATTTAATTTTGATGATTTTCGGGACAATATGACCATTTTGTTTTACTTGTTAATTGTGACATGGCCTTTTATGTCATGGAATATTATTATGTTAATTATTCCATCTAAAATATAAATGTTTCTCCGCTAAACTTCAGACAGAAGCTGCAGTGATGACGATATGGGCGAGAGCGAATAAGGTCCACAGCAGTATTTGCAGCAGAGTGGACAGCCTCTTCCTGGGATGGGGAGAGGAGGGAGACTGGGGGAGAGAGGGGGGAGACACGGAGAGAGAGGGGGGAGGATGGGAGAGAGAGGAGGGAGACTTGGAGAGAGAGGGGGAGGATGGGAGAGAGAGGAGGGAGAGAGGAGATGCAGGAGATCAGAGAAGAGGTGGAGACTGCGCTGAATAAGAGAGGATCTTGGAGATGATCGGAGGGTGAAGAGGCAGGACAACAAGAGGAGCCACATGGTGAGACTTTTCTTAGATTCTACTCTGTCTTTGAAGCAGGTTTTTGTGGAAAATTCTGAAAAAAAGAGTCAAAATCTTATTCGGAGTTAAAATTCTGATATTAATTCAGAGGAAAATAGTCAAATTCTGAGAAATAAAAATCTAAATCTGAGTTTAATGTAAAAGTCAAATTCTGCGATAAACAACAAAATGGAAGATAAAAGTCCATTTCTGAGTAAAGATTCAAGCACCAGTTCATTCAGGAAATATGTTTCTTCACAGTGCAAAATTATCACACTTAAAAAAATGTTTCATGCCTCCGGATAGCTCAGAGCTGGCCAATAGGTCAGAGCATGTGCCGACCGGAACAAACTTTTATCAGAGTGTCCAAACTTTTAAGAGTGCATTGAAGACCTTCCTTTTTACCAAAGTCTTAAGTTAGAGCTGGCATTACATGGTATTTATTTCATTTTATGGTACTTTATTTTATTGTTTTATATATTTTTATTGTCTTTTGTTGTGTCTTATTTGATTTTGTTTTATTTTCTATTTGTGTTTTACACACTATCTTGTCTTTCTATTTTGCTGTAATATTATTGTTTACAATGATGTTTGTTTTTAATCCCTAAAGCCCACTGATACAACCTGTTTTGTGATATTGGGCTACACAAATAAATGTGAGGATTTCATATGCAGTGGCCGCTGCCTTGTAAGCCGGTTCGGAACCCCGAGCTTTTTGATTTGAAGTCAGAATGTCCCGATTAATTCATGTTTTTACTAAAATATATTTATTTTTTTGCTGTGTTTTTTTGTGTGTGAGTGTGTTTGAGTGTGTGTTTGTGTGTGTGCATGTATATGTGTGTCCGAGTGTGTGTCAGAGCAAAAAAAACTGATTTTTTTATAAAAACCTGAATTACGGTGTTAATATTCGTGAGCTGTTGCAGTATCCCAGAACAACTGCAGGGGCGCTGTATTGAAACCCAGATTTAACACAAGTTCTGTTTTTGTAAAATAGTGGGATTTTGGAGACTTTTACTGTATGAGCTCTCAAGAAACACTTCCACTCTGTCAGTCAGCAGCACACTGACCCTGTCCTGCTAATACAGAGTGTCCTCGTAGTGTCGGTGTTTACTCATACCACATGTCTGCTTGGACCACATAAACCAGCGTACTAACACATATATGAAATATCTGAATAAATAACGAAAGATAACATACACACATAAACACACACACACATACTTATAACCACATACACAAAGGCACATGCACACACACTTGCACACAAACACACACATACACACACATTCAAACAGAGATGTACCTTCAGAAACACACATATTCACTAGTGAAAATAGACACACACAGACATATGCACACATATACATACACACACACACTCAAACAGACACACACAATCAATCACAAATACACACACACACACACTCCAAAAGACATTGGACATGCAGAAACAAACATGCACACACACTCACACACACACACATTAACATACACATTCACACTCAAAAAGACATACCTGAATAAAGACAAACACTTGCACACAGATACATATACATGCACACACACACAGACTCAAACAGACATTTACCTTCAGAAACACACAAACGCACATGCACACACATACTCAAACACACACATATACACTAGTGCAAACAGACACACACACACATTAACACACATTAACACACGTTAACACACTCACTCAAAAAGACATATACCTACATAAACACACACATATACACACAAATGGACACACGCACAGGCACACACACACACACACACACACACAAACAGACATCTACCTTGAAAAACACACACATGCTCAAACACACATATACCCTAGTGAAAACAGACACACAGACACATACGCACACATATACACACAAAGACATATACCTGCATACACACACACAAACCTACACACATGCTCAAAGACACAGATATACACTAATGCAAACAAACACACACACTCATATGCACACATATACATACACACAAACACACACACACACTCACTCACACACACACACTCAAACAGACATATACCTGGATAAACAGACACACACACACACTTGCACACAGACACACACACACGCTCAAACACACACTCAAACACAAATGCACACACACACTCACTCACACACACAAAAATACAAATATCTGCATAAACACACATACACAGACACACACACACACAAACAGACGTTTACCTTCAGAAACACACACACTCAAACAGACATATACATGCAACAACACACTCACACACACACACACACACACACACACACACACTCAAACAGACATATACATGCAACAACACACTCACACACACACACACACACACACACACATACTCAAACAGGCATATACCTGCATAAACATACACCCCCCCACACACACACTTGCTCAAATTCCAAGAAAATAGTCAAATTCTGAGAAATTTTAAAGTAAAATTCTGCGAGGAAAAACTAAATGTGAGAAAAAAGTCAAATTCTGAGAAAAAAGTCAAATTCTGACTAGAAAGTCAAATTATGGGAAATAAAAGTCAAATTCTGATGAAAAAGTCCAAATATGGTCCCTAAAAAAGCATTTCATTTGTTCTCTAGTTTATGTTGCATTTCCACTGTTAGTGTACTGTTCACTTCAAATACATTTATGTAGTGTCTTCAAATACAAAAGACACTGCAAATGTATTTGAAGTGGACAGGGACATATGTCAACATTGCAATGTGCCAGGAAGCTGATACTTGAACTGTGTCCTGCCTCCAGACCCTGGATTGAGTGTGTCGATTTTGGAGATGATTGGAGAACCTTTGATTTTTAGACCTTTGCAAAGTCATCACTGAAGACATGACTTTTCCTGAAAAACAGCTCAAATAAAGTTGCTCCGATTTGCATGAGAGTTGGTGTACTGAGAACAGTGGCCCCACAGAGGACTAATTCAAATTTACTTTTACATTACATTGCATTTAGCTGATGCTTTTATCCAAAGCGACTTACAATAAGTGCATTCGACCAAGAAGATATAAACTTGAAGAAAACAGAATCATATAAGTACATCAGGTTTCATAGAGCCAAAACATTTCAAGTGCTACTCAACTGGCTTTAGATAAGCCAGTCCTTTGTTAGTATATAAGTGCTTTGTTAGTAATTGTATTGCTCGAAGTGGAGTCGAAAGAGATTAGTTTTTAGTCTGCGCCGGAAGATGTGTAAGCTTTCTGCTGTCGTGATGTCAATGGGGAGCAAACCAACGTGTTTTTGCTGATGGGAACTTGGGTCCCCCTCGCAGTGCGGGTGCAGCGAGCTGTTTGGCTGATGCAGAGTTGAGTGCACATGCTGGGGTGTATGGTTTAACCATGTCCTGGATGTAGGAAGGGCCAGAACCATTCACAGCATGGTACGCAAGTACCAGTGTCTTGAAGTGGATTCTAGCAGTTACTGGAAGCCAGTGACTCCATGTAGCTCTTGGCATATTGGAGTTAAGAGCCTGTACATTTCAAATACATAACCATATTGTCTCTGGTATTTGAAGTGTGCGTCCACTTCAAACACATATCTGCACAAAATGATGTCCGTGAAGTGGACAAGTCATAACCCCAAAATGAAGCTGATGCTGGGGTATGTTGTTCCTGAAAAACAGGTCAAAAATAAAATTGCTCCGATTTGCATGAGAGTTGGTGTACTGAGAATAGTGGCCTCACAGATGACTAATTCGAAGTGACGTGCATGTAGCCCTTGCCATGTTTGAAATATGACCTTGTACATTTCAAATACCACAGGTCGTGTACTGATGTATTTGAGGTGTACTGTCCACATCGCAGACCTGAGATCCTGCTGTCATGTATTTGAAGTGTACTGTACACTTCAAATACTTAACCGCAGGATCTGGGGTGTTTCAAATGTACAAGGTCATATCTCCAGAATGCACTGGGACTGGAAGCCCACACTTGAACCGTGTCATGCCTCCAACCCTCGGATTCAGTGGTGTCAAATTGGAGACATTTGGACAATTTCACAAATCGCTGTAGCGAGAGATGAAGCAGGCCGGGTGAATAATCCATCGTCACATGCATGTAGCCCCGGGCATCGTGGAGATGTGACCTTGTACATTTCAAACACAGTGTATTTGAAATGTACAAGGTCACAAGTCCTGCGTGCTCACGCCTAGGAGGCTGCAATTATGTGCCCGACATCCCATCCCACTCGTGAATAAGTGTTGTAAATATGAAAGAGATTGCTTGAAGGCCAATATTTTAACCTCCTCAATTTATGTAGCAATGCATAAGTGTCCCAAGATGGACAATCTGTACACTCCGAATTCACCGGCGCATTACGGCACCGGCGTAATGCATAGGTCTGACTGGCAGCTGGCGCAGCATTACGCATGTGTCCAAAAAGGGGATAGATGTTAGGCTGAACTTTCCAAAAAGGTCAAAAACAGTTGTATTTGGATGGAATGAATACCTATAGTGATATTTCAATGAAATAAAATGAGTTTTACAGTGTGTGGCAAATGGAACTGATGGTAACCAAATGTACCCAAAGGTGAGTCCCCCTGGACCTACCTGTGCCAAAATATTCAAAAAAAAAAAATTCATGAAATTAGCATCTATCTTGAAACAGGGTACTTACGATATATTGTGGTTTGGATCCCTATAGGTTCTGGGCTACTATTCCATCATTCAAGGGTGGTTTTCACTATAAGTAATGGGGTTTTTTTTTAGGTGGAGATTAGAATTAAAACATTTGTACTATGTTCCATCTGTATTTACTCTGACACAGCAACATCTACATTGATTCTGACACTTCTACAGCCAACTCACAGGTGTATCATTGCTTTGATAAAAAAAGATTATTCATTTACCCATTTAGAAGTCATTCATTCTGGGCATGTCATTTTCGAGCCTGAGGCCTGAAAAATAGGCCCAGTTCTTAAGAGGCTAAACAAATCCAGATAAATGACAGATTTTTAGAAATACTCTTTAATATATTGTTAATACTCTTTATCAACAATATATTGTTGATAAAGAGTATAATGGGAGACATTTTTAATAAGAGATTTGAACACGTCTTATTTGGGTTTTTTTTTGCAGGTAACTCAGTGACGGTTCCCTGGCTGGCGAACAACATGAGCGCAGACCACGAGGACGTTCATGTTCCCGTGAAGAAAAGCAAACCCAAACAAACCAAAGTGGTGACGTTCTGATCAGAACACACACACTCTCTACGTCTGATCCGAACACACACTCTCTACGTCTGATTCGAACACACACTCTCTACGTCTGATCCGAACACACACTCTCTACGTCTGATCCGAACACACACTCTCTACTTCTGATCCGAACACACACTCTCTACGTCTGATCCGAACACACACTCTCTGCGTCTGATCTGAACACACACTCTCTACGTCTGATTCGAACACACACTCTCTACTTCTGATCCGAACACACACTCTCTACGTCTGATCCGAACACACACTCTCTACGTCTGATCTGAACACACACTCTCTGCGTCTGATCTGAACACACACTCTCTACGTCTGATCCGAACACACACTTGACGTTCTGATCCGAACACACACTCTCTACGTCTGATCCGAACACACACTCTCTACGTCTGATCCGAACACACACTCTACGTCTGATCCGAACACACACTCTACGTCTGATCCGAACACACACTCTCTGCGTCTGATCTGAACACACACTCTCTACGTCTGATCCGAACACACACTTGACGTTCTGATCCGAACACACACTCTCTACGTCTGATCCGAACACACACTCTCTACGTCTGATCCGAACACACACTCTACGTCTGATCCGAACACACACTCTCTACGGCTGATCCGAACACACACTCACTACATCTGATCCGAACACACACTCTCTACGTCTCTACACATTTAAATTGAAAGGACTGCTGACCTTGACATGCAGTGAAGACATTCTCCTCCAGAGGCCTGTACTACGAAGCCGGTTCAACATAACCTGGATATGTTTGAGCTACCCGGCTTACCTAATCCAAAACAAACGTGCTCTCGCTAAACTGTCCTACGACGCTGGTTATCAACTTGGTAACTCAAGCCAGGGTTTCTCTGTGCGGCTGAGTGCGCGTTCACATGAAAGGGGCGGGGTTAGCAACATTTGAACAATCAAAAACATGGACAAGCGTTAAACTTTAAACATCCATGACTTAAACACTTTATCCAGGATAAAAGCAACATAGCTGCACCTGCAAGGTGAATACAGCTGGTAAAAAAATAAGTTTTGAACGCGTACATTAACAGGTTTATGATATCACTGCCCCCTAAGACACGAGTGGATCTGACTTTAATTACATTTGACTCGAGTGTTTCATCAACTTAATGTGTTGCTTAAAATAATACTTCTGCATACAGTATGTGACACTGTGAGTGTTGCACGGCCAGATACGGCTCAAGAAGCTGACTCAGATAAGGAAATATATGATACATTATGATGTGATATGATATGAATGATAATGGGACACATCGACGTCTGCACTCACAGTGCCGCAGACTGTACGTAATGTTACTTTGATCCGGTTATTTATGTTAACTTGTGAGAGATATTTAAGTAAGCTTTCTTAACGCTAATGTTATAATAGTCAGATTGCTCTGAAGATGGGAGGTGATATTCTATTAATTTTCACGTTCACAGTCGGTGATCTTTGCCGGCCGTCTTTCCTGCAACGGTGGTTTTTCTGTATTTTCCTCCGGAGCAGGTTTGCCATTCAGCATAAGTTACCATGGAGATCTACCCCGGTAAGAAGTGAACCAGCATCGTAGTTATCCCTGAAGTTAGCGAAAATCCGGCTTCGTAGTACAGGCCTCTGGTTCCCTCTGTGTATATTTAATATCCTTTTTAATAAAGTGCTGCTTCAGTCTATTCACAGTGTTACTTTGTTCTGGTGCTGCAACAACAACAACAACAACAATGATAATAATAATGAGACCTATGAAATAAAAAAGATTATAAAAATACGATATAGTTATTTAAAGGGGACCTATCATGCAAAATGCACTTTTGTACGTCTTTTCTACATGAATATGTGTCCCCGGTGTTCCAGGGAACTCACCAAGTGTCAGAAAACACAACCCTCTCTATTTTCCTCCATACCCAAATCTCTAAAAAAGGGGCTGCAACGGACCTGATACAGACTGATCCAGATTTGAACACTTTACTGACGTCAGTAAAGTGGCGCTATTCTCCCTCCCCAAGGCAAGCGTTTGCTCCTGCTGCTTTAATTCAATGCAATCCCTCCCCGTCGAGGCAAGCACTGTAATTCTCTCCGGTTAGTCCACCAGCAGATGACAAACACCCACCTCTCCGCCTCTTCCAAGGAACGAGGGGACCGTACGGCAGAGTTTCAGTTTCAGTTTGTTTTTCGCCGGTCAAGATGTCCGTTAAAGTTTAAATCTTCCGGACAAAATTAGAAAAGTGCCGGTCAAAGGTCTTCTTTGTTATTTATTGAGCTTTAAAAAAAAAGAATAACGACTCTATATAATAATAGGCTATAATAAAACACGGAAGACGGAGATCTATTTTTCTCCCCCTCTTCTGACAGCCCAGCAGCTGTTCAGAGCGCGCTCCCCTCTCCTGCAGGGGGGCGTGGTCAGCTGCAGCTCACAGAATCAGCCCCCTGCAAAAACAGTCCTGAGAACAACAAATAGAGCGAAATGAGGCATGGCTTAAAATCATGATCTGTTTGGTATTTTGAAAACAGAAACGTATAAATATACCTTATATAGGTATGGCCCTACAATATATCATTTAAATATAGCATGATAGGTCCACTTTAAATAATAAAAAGTGTTCAAAAAAATACATTTTAAATAATGTAATAATTATAAAATTATTTAAAAGTAGTAATAAATAGAAAACAATTATGAAATATATATATATTTTAATAATTCATAAAGTTAATTAATACAATATGTATTTGTTTTAATAAAAATAAAATATATATATATTATTATTGATGATTAACAGGGTGCTAAATATAAAATACTAATAATTAAATCATGAATAATTAAAACAAATATTATGCAAATAAAATAGAAAAGGTTAGGAAACATCCAAAATAAAACTTGTTAAGTAAATGAAATATTCTAAATCTTAAAATGCAAAATAATAAGCCAGGTAAGAATCCTAGCAGGTATACTATACTAATAAATATGATGCTGTTTTGTCAAATACTTAATTTATTCAATACCTATTTAATATTTAAAAGCATTTACATCATATAGTATTTTATATTGTGGGGTTAGTGCTGTAGTAATGTGAAGAGTCGGCCGCTAGGGGGCAGCGCTGACTATCTAACATGCTGTAGAAGAGACAATTAACTAATAATAACCTGAAAAAAGTACCTTTAAAAAAAACTGAGATCTGTTTTTAAATTATAATTAAAAGATATGTGATGATCAGAAACAGATGCAATGATTGTATACATGATATATCATTTCTACATCTCTGTGAATCATATTCAGATATAAAAGAAACAAGGGGCGTTGCCACAAGTATATAATAAAGATATATATAAAGGTCTCTATAATAGACCCATCTGCTACCCAAATATAACGTTTTGGACGTAGGTTACGATATAAAAAAATCTGTATCCTATCCATATGAACATGTGTTAAGTGAGGGGGGGTCTTCATTTCCTCTGGGGGTCCGGGGGCTTGATTTTTAGGGTTTTGGAGTTAAATGTTTGATGCAATACCTCTTTAAACACTTTCCATGGGAACAGGCTTGAAACCAGTTTGTGTTTTCTTTTTGTTTAGAGGTTGTTTTATAAAGATTTCTGTCAAATTTCTTAAAGCTTATATTAATCAATTTTTACCAAACATTTCTAAATTAAATCCACTTTTTCTCTTTGTAAAAGAGGAGGAACCAAAGAAGCTAAGAAAGTATGTTTTTTATTTGGTTTTGTTGTGTTTGTCATTAAAACCTGATTGCAGCGGAAAGTGCTTTATGTGACAGATTCATAAAAATAAACCTGTCAACACCCTGACATCATACACACACACACACACACACACACACACACACACACACACACACACACACACACACTCTTTCTTACAGGAAACATCAGAAACAGTTTCCTGCCACGTTTTTTCAATGAAGATAAAGCTTTTTGTTTTCCTGAGACACAAAGCAGATGTGTGTGTGTGTGTGTGTGTGTGTCTGTGTGTGTGTGTGGTGTGTTGTGTGTGTGTCTGTGTGTTGTGTGTGTGTGTGTTGTGTGTGTGGTGTGTTTGTATGTGTGTGTGTGTGTGTGTGTGTGTGTGTGTGGTGTGTGTGTGTGTGTGTGCTGTGTCTGTGTGTGTATGTGTGTGTGTGTGGTGTGTGTGTGTGTGTGTGTGTTGGTATGTGTGTGTGTGTGTGGTGTGTCTGTGTATGTGTGTGTGTGTGTGTGTGTGTGTGTGTGTGTGTCTGTGTGTCTGTGTGTGTGTGTGTGTGTATGTGTGTGTGTGTGTGTGTGTGTGTGTGTTGTGTCTGTGTGTGTGTCTGTCTGTGTCTGTCTGTGTGGTGGTGTGTGTGTGTGTGTGGTATGTGTGTGTGTGTGTGTGTGTGTGTGTGTGTGTGTGTGTTTCCCCTGGAGAGTGTCTAAGGAGGTATTGCATCACTGATGATGTAAAAAGGGTTTCTGGGAATTCCTCTGCTTTGTAAAAACGATCCACAGCAGACACAACTCATCATACCTGTGTTTGAGAAATAAAACATTAAAACGTGTTGCAAGAAGAATTACATTACCCACAATCCTCTGTAGCAACCATAGACTGTATATTGCAACAGTATATATAATAAAATTATAAAATGCAGTAACGTGCTTTAACCAGTAGGTGTCCCTTTCTATCAGCTGTGCACCGTTATGGTGTAAATACAGCCTATCTACCAATTGGATCAAATATAAAAGTCAGCCGAATTAGTGTTGATACTGCAAGGAGACGTATTATGTGAAAAGAAATGTAAGATGTTGTTTAATTGCTTATATATTTATGATCCATGTCAAGTTTTCAGTTTTGGGGGCAGTTCCTGTTTGTCTAGAAGTCTTCTGATCAGGGCTCTATACATAGAGTTAACTACGGCAGATATGTAATATTTAATGCAGCCGAAACGTGTGTTACAATGCCGTTATGTGATGACTTTCAAAGAGAAAAGCAAGCACACTCGGAAT